AGGTTTGGGTTTGAGTTTTTTTTTTTTTTGGGTTAAGGAAGAATGGGGAGCTTTCCCTCCCCCACCAGGGTTTATATAAGGAGAGGAAGGGAGAAGAAACAACACTTGGTTTTTGGGTTCTGGTGAATTGTTTTTCTTGTTGGGTATTGTGATTATTGTAAGTCAGGCCATGTGGATCTTTTCTCTGTCTAACTGTGAAAGATTTGTGCCAAGATTCTCCGGGCATCACTTTATGGAAAAATTAATATCAAAACAAATGTTAACAGCTTGGCTTTGCTTTCTGTCTGTTCGGCCAAGACTGATAGCCATCACTTTCCTTTTCTCTCTCTAGATTTTGGGCTCGGATAATGTTCCTTTCACTTCCCCTGTTAAGCTCTTGTTAACATGCTGGGATGATTTCAACAATAAAGACAAATTCAAGATTATTGCACAATCTCATTAGAAATGATCATATCTTGGACATGAATAATATTCCCAAAAATTTTCATGTTACTTGTTGTGTGAATAGTCAAACCCGAAATGATTAACAGTTTGCTCATTTCACAAATGTTAGTCTGAACTGTAAAATCTCAATGTTAAATACAATTTTTAAACAGTTTAAACTCTTGTTTTAAAGTCAAATCAAAGGGTCTTATTATAATGCCATATTAAGTCCAAGTTCTATGGACATATAGTTTGCAGGAAATGGGGTACATAGTAATTGTCTTAGGTTAAAAATTGATCAGTATTCGAAATCCGTTGAATTCAGTTATTTCGGATTAATCTTAGATCGATTAAGAATATTAATCTCTTCGATTTATTCGGTTAACCTTTGGTATTAAAATTTACAATCAAATCATGTGTATTAATTCATGTCTCTATAATTTTCGAAATTTTCAAACCAAGTCGACCGAATTCACTTGTCTTGTTAATGTCCACCGGCAGTATCTTATACGACAGGTTGAAATATTTTTGGCCATATATTATAGAAGACCTGGTTTGTGTGCATCAAGATGATGAGCACCTTTTGCTTGGTGGGGTCTTGGTTAATTTTGAGGAATTACTAACTTCATCTTGGGGTATTTTATTATTTTATTTTATTTTTTATTTTTATTTTTCCTTTGAGTTGTTGCAGAGGACATTCGGTGGACCCCAAATATTATTATCAAAGATTTGGAACGGTATTTTAAGAAGATGCATTAAGCTTTGGTGCAAGATAAAACCATGTGAAAAGTGCCTGGATGTCTAACCAGTTTGGAGATCCAGTTTTTAGGAACCACTGTTCTTGATGGACCTATATAGTATGTATCCTTGCCCACCCATCAAACTTTGTTCTTTTCTCCTCTTGTTTTTTATTTTTGGGTACTATTTTTGTTTGGTTTTTAACATTTTAATAAGCAAGGATATACTCCATTAGGAATAAGATTCACATCAAGTCTAGAAAATAAAAACAAAAATTGAAAATTATCATAGGAAGCTTTGCTTGTGTTTAGTTTAACGTATAGAGTTAGAGATTTTTATATTATTTTGTAATTGTTTAGTGTTTATTGTGCTTGGTTGTCCAATTTTATCTCTCTGTCGTCGTAAAATTACCTTACCAATTACATATATAAAAAGGAGAAAGCTTCGCTCATTTTTTTTCCTTTTTCTTTTTTTTTTTGGATTTTTACTCTTTAACTTTTTATTGTGTTCGGTTATTCAACTTTTTATCTTCTGTTCGTTTTAATTTTTCAGTAAAATTTTATCTTTTTTGAAAAATGAAACATTGGGTTTTGATATCAATCAAGGTTTAGATCTAATTTAATATTATCATTGACTTAAAACAAGATTAAGAAAAGTTGCTTAAAGTTTTTAAGGGCCGAAGGAGGAGATGAGGGGGGGTTGCATTAACTGGCAACTAGTGCGTCAAGGCACACTCATCCGGTCATCCCTGTCGGGACAATGGACCCCGATGTGTTTGGATGGTGATAGCTAAGTCAGATTACAGCATCTGTCTTGTAATAAACAAATGCACTTTCGTTGGTTGATTGATTCGTGTATATAACCAACTGATGATCATTGGTACATCTCGATTACAACAGCAAGAATATATATCAAACCTCTTGTGTTGTTTTTTATTACAAATCTGATCCTCTTGCAAATCTCCTTCTTTTCTTCCAATGGAAAGAATATCAGTCTAGTTTAGCTGGTGTTATCCAACCCCCTCTCACTCTCGTTATCATTCCTTGTCCATTAGAGGAACATGAGCATAGAGTCATTCGAAAGCACATTCTTAATTACACCCATTTTGTCTATTCTGTAAAGGTATATATCAATATGAATATTTGATATTTAATAGTAAGTATTATGTACCTTTACTCAAAAAATTAAGGGTATTTGAATTCCCTTCTCCTAAATGAAAAAAATAAATTATTAAATGTTAAAACGATTGATGATATATCTCTTTTTACGAGAAAGGAGAGTCGGTTAAAATAATTACACCTTACTTAATTTATCGAGAAAGGAGATCTATTTCATTGTAATATATATCTTACTTAAAAAATTAAGTTTGAATTATTTTTCTCTCAAATAAAAAGAATAAATTATTAAATGTTATACTCCAGTGTTTGATATTATATATATCTCAAACTCAAATAATCGAATTCGAATCTTCCTTTCTCTTAAATAACAAAGTAAATCATTATATGTTAAAATAACTG